AGTGCCCCACCTTTATGCAAGTAACCCCTACCTCTCTATTAGAAACCCCCTTTTCCCACTTGGTGATCTCAACTAGAGCACACATTTCTTCTCTCATCTCTTATTTGTATGGAAACAATCTGAAGGGATGCACGTTGAAACTAGAGAGGATACACGCCATCTCTAGGTTCCCAATGTGATGGGATCTAGCTTATTAAAAATAATCAAACCAAATCCCTTTCAATAAGGTAGTTCTTGGAAGCGGTGGTTTTGTCTATCACTGCCTCCAACAACCTCCACCTTGATCAAAATCACCATCTCCTTCCTATTGCTAAGCTATTGAGCACAAGTTGTTAGAGATGCGATAAGAATGAGAAGCTTACTCTCTCATAAAGGGTTACTGCCCCGAATATCTCTAAGTAGGAGGTACTAGTACACTGCTTTTCTCCATAGGAGACACTTCTTTTTCTCAACCGGCCCTGCCTCTATGTGTTGGATGCCCCTCTCTCTCCCTAGAATGCACGTTTATATATATATATATATATATGTGTGTGAGAGAAAGAGAGAGAGAGAAAGAGAGCAAGAGAGAGATTTGGAGGAGCCACCCATGAAACTCCCCTTTCTCAGCAAATCTGTAGGACACTCGCCTTTGACAAGACGGACCTCACCTCGCCTGAAAAATGGCAATCATTTCCCATTTGGCCTTTTCTAATAGAAAGAGGGGCAAATTGGTTATTGCCCCTCTAGAAAGCCCCAAGTGACGGGGAATAAAGGCATGCTATTGTGTAGTATGATGATAGCTTGAAATGTCTAAATTTAGTTAATTATAAAACATACTATATATAATTCAGTGAGCAATAGAAAGTTTTAATAATGATGAATTTTAATAGGAGTCAATAGTAGTGCTTTCTTAAAATAAATTTTGTAGTTCCTTTTGTAAGGAGATGGCTTGAAACAATTCAGTTCTTTGATCATAAAGATGAATTCAAACAATTTACTTATTTGATTCAGGAGATTTTATTATGTCAGAGTGCTACTCACAGTATTTGGATTTCTTGGAGGTTTCCTAGAGCTCTTAATATTTCCCCCATCAATTCATAGCCTTTAAGGTTCCTGCAAAATGATTAAATGGTTAAGACCCTGGTTGGTGTTTTGGCTTTGTTTGAGGGGCCCATATCCAAATTTGGGATTTTGGATTAGAATCCATGGAAACTTATCTATTTAAAATAAAAAATATAAATTTACAAACTCAGATGATATGGACATTACTTTATAGACAAAATTGAGTCAAATTTCATATTCAAATCTAGAGAGCATGCCCACACATATAAGCACATGGAGGGGACAGAGTCATACAGGAATCATGCTAACCATATGATCGATGTGACCATCTACCCATTCAGATCGACCAATGAGCCACTCTTATGGTATGTTCCTTTTCTTTTCACTGTATTGTCAATTTTGTTAATCTCTTCCAAGTTTTTTTCTTTTTTTTTTTGGATAGATCTTACATCTAAATAAAGATGATTTGAAACTTTTTGGTGAAAATAAAAATCCAAAAAATGTTCTACTCCCTAAGGAGTAGACTTCCATTTAAAACCCCACCTAGGATTAATTTTAGGACCCTAATGTTTGGGGATATAACCTCTTTAAAACATAGATTAATTTAAACTGAAACAGAATTCCTAATTGCACCCTCTAAGCACAAGAAAAAAGTAATTGAATAGAAACTGGCTTACTTTTGGAGGGTGAGATCTAAGTGTTAGAAAAGTCATTTTTTTTTTTTGAGAATAATCATGTAGTGATTCTAAGGAAGTTACTTTGATTGAAAACTCCTCCCAAATAGGTCATCGGGGAGAGTTGAAGTAAACTATGCTTTCAAGGGAGCAGTAGTATGATCAAAACAAAAAATTCCCCCTAATTAGTTGTTTATCCCTTGGCCTAATTTCTAGAGTTGTAGGCACTTAATATGCGCACACGCATGCGCAGAGAGAGAGAGAGAGAGAGAGAGAGAGAGAGAGAGAGATTACTTATACTAAATACTGAGTGATGTAAGGTAATTTGAAGAACATCAAAAACAAGATTATCATGCCAAACACAGGAGAAACGTGGCTTTTCTCCTCACGCCAAGCTAGGGTTCCGAATGTCCAAATTTTTATTTCTCTTTCAATTTCTGAAAATCCCGTAGAATAACCCCCTCTTATATATTATAATTTAATGTTCAAAGATATTAAATGTCCATACAATAATTATAATGACTTAAAATGTCCATACAATAATTAAAATGATCCAAAAAAATCAAAATTTAAACACATAGTTTGTAATAACAATTTTATCCTTGTGAATAGTAACCGGTGAATAGGATCCTATGAATAGTACCCCATGACTAGTAACCAATGAATATTATATAAAAATATAAAAAAAATCTGAGAATCCCCTAAAGATTTAAAAACCCTAAAAATAAACTCTAAAATTAAAATTAAAATATCCACCTTTGAAATTGAACAAATATAAAAAATAAGAATAATTTTTTCATGTATCACTGAGGTCAAAGAATGTACACTTACAAGGAAATGATTCTTGGAAATGGTGCATTGCTGCAACTTAACACATCCCAACTGTATCCTTTAGGAAGGCACGGGTCTCCTAACCAACCCTTCAATGCATATTCTCTCTTGATGTCCATTAGAGCATCAACTACATGGTGTCAAAAAATTTAATCAACTAATTTTTTTCTCAATAAGAAAAACATGCAAAAATCATGTGGCCCTAGAGTACACCATGATTTGAAGATGCAGTATATTGCAAGGGCCAGTTTGGAGCAACCATTTTTTTTTCCTTTTAAATTTAAGGGATGCAGATATAACAGGTCCTTTTCATGAAAACAAGGCCGAAAAAGGGACTTCCTCAAAGTTAGCTAGAGCATCCCTTTGTATGCTTTCATGTAAATGAACAGGTTGCATGGTGCAAAGAAAGTGGGACCTGCCAATGTGCGCAGCCATTTATCAATGGCTCCAAACAGCAGACTAAGTCGACACCATCCTGCCGATTGATCCAATGATGGGCAAGGTGCTTCAACTGAAGCAACGGTGGCTAGCCGCACCTGAACATTCCTCCTCATTATCATGAATATCATCGTTCAAGTGGATTTAAGTTTAGGACCGAGCACTATTAAGGGTCATGTATGACAATTGTAGATTAGAGAAATGGAGTTACTGGTGAGTAAGTGATAAAAGGGGGTATTGTTCATGAATGAGGGACAAAGGGACATTTTCCAAAGTAGAGGAGATATTTACTTTCCCTTTTAAGCAGAGACGAGAAATGGGGTTTATGCTGAATAGCTAGAGCAGACAAAACAACTATATATCAGGACAGAGAAATAAAATGACCCCTTTTTTAAGTAATTGGCACTGTTTTGCACACCGTTCCGGTCAGCCCAGACCTGGCCACTGGCCGTGGCCGGTTTTGGTGGTCAACCGGCTCAACCACCCTTATTTTAAATTAAATTAAAAAAAATTGAAAAAAATAAGAAATTTGTTTGTAATAGATTTGTTAATGTTTTCTATTGTTTCAAAAAAGATTGGGAAGTATTTTGGGCATGAATATTTATTTATACATTTTTCCATTTTTTTTGGATTATTTCTAAAATGCCCCAGGCTGCGAATTGATTTTTCAAAATCTATTGTTTTACTACTTTTTTAATCTCATTTGGATGTATTTCGTTTAATTATAATTTAAACATACTTTTCATAGTTTTTGGGATCTTTCGAGATTTTTTTTAGAATTTTTTCAACCCTTTTTAGCCCGGTTGGGGCCGACCTTTTTGGGGCTGGCTACTGGACCGGTTCCGGACCAGGCCCATGGCCGGGT